AAACTTGTATTTGACAATACTCTCTAAACAAACCACTATAAAATACTTTAAATATTTATTTACCTGACTTTCTCTATTTAAAAGATAAATACAGTGTGATAGAGTAGGAAAAAAACCAAACATGAAATGACCTAGGTATAATCCTACCTCGTGCACTGCATGACCCTGACATAATTACAGAACTTTCTTGGGCCTCATTTCTTTATCTGAATAAACTGATTTAGTCCCTTCCCTGTGGTGAAGTTGAAGCCCATTTTGTGACTACTGATCATCCATTTCCAAATATACAAACATTTTATGAACAAAACTTACAGATAGAGCACTTAGTGGTTTAGAAAAGAATACGTAATTTCTTTTATAGAAACTTTTATTAAGTATTTTTTTCAAAGATTATATAGGAAGGACATTAGATTAACAATATAAATGTAGATAACAGTTAAAATTGATAGTGATAGTGCATAGAATGAAGTGACTTTTAGAGTTTTAAGTTATGTCTATATGTAGATCTGACAACTGATATTTTTTGTACATTATTAAAATCTGGAGTTGTACTTTTTCATTTGTTCATATGTATTTATATTTCTTTAGTAAATTCTACAATTTACTCCTTTGGAAAAACATTTACCTAAACATCTCTAGATGGTTCTATATATATATATACATGCTATGTGTGTGTGTGTATATGTGTATATATATATATATATATATATATATACACACACATGCTATGTATATATAGCAATATAGCATATAGCAATATATATATACACACATACATACATACACATAAACACAATAAATATATGTATATTTAATGCTCTCTTTGGCACCGATTAACATGGAATTACTTTTCTTTCATTTGTAACCTCATAGGTATGAAGAAATATGCTTTTTATTAGGGAACTGTCCTATTACATTCTTGGTAGTCATTACATTAATAAATACATTTAAATTATTGCCAGGTAGTAACTTAAAAACTATAAAATACAATTTAATAGTAGTAGCCATTCATGACTTAATATCCTCAGTTATTTGGGTCAAATTTTCATTGTTCTTAAAGAGACATAAAAACATTAAGAGTTCATGGATGAGTGAATAGTCACTCTTAATATAAAAGAGTTAATATGAAAAGGCCCCTGTTTGTTTATGACTTAACATATTTCTGTAATTATAAACATAAAATATTAAATCTACGGCAATTGATGTAGTAACTGAAATGTGACCCCTAAGTTTGTTCTCTTTCAGTGTCAGCCTTTATTTAAGGGTGTTCTGCAGAATGCTAGCATTCCTTCAGATGCTTCTTGGAAAATAACGTTCTGTGAATAAATGTTTGGGAAATATAGGAGTCAACAAAGTGAAGCAAATTGTGTAACTTTTGTTTCAGCATCAGTCTGTCAGAGGAATCTTAATTTGAGCACCAAACTCATTTTTTTATGTGGTCTCTCGTGGGACCAGAGATATTACACAGGATATATTTTGAGAAATATAGTTCTGTTTCAAATACTTACATGAAGAAAAAATTAAAATCAAATGAAATAAAACAAAAATCACCCCCACCCCCTACCCTCTGCTACTCTGAGAGAAAAGTGTGGGCTGCAGAGCCAGATGCTCTTCCTGGGAGGGACTTGACAGCACTGCCTCAGGCTTCTCCTAAGTTTACTACTGGAGCACTATTCCTTTATTTGTTTAAAATGTAAAGGGGAAATACAAATTGAAGCCAGAAAAAGAAGACGAAAATTGAAAATGTGTTTTTTTGATAAACTAATGGAAGTAAAATTGTGGTTTTCACATAAGTTTATTATATGATGGGCTTTGGAAAAATAAAGCTGATTGCAAATCAAAATGATTGCCCTTTTCGTACGAGGTCACCTGGAGGGTGAAGTGTGGAGGTTGCTTGTGTTCTATGTGAATTACTTGTTTCATCTGAAGAAAATAAAATCAACATAAGGAAATCCCTGAGAATTTTCAATGCATATGTCGCCAAAAGAGTTATGACTGCCAAGATTTTTTTTTCTCAATGTGTCACATAATCTTTGTATAATTTATAAATGATAACAAAGCAATCAGGCCACATTCATAAAAGCCCAGTGACACATAATTTAGTTGAATCTGAGGATTAGAATTAATTGTCTCTCTTTGTTCTAAGTTCTAAATCTTAGTAAATGATTCACTGCATGTCATTACAGCTTAATATTTGCATGAAATCACAGTTTAGCTGGCATAATTTAACAGCAATTAAAAAGCTATTTAATCGTCATGCAAATTGGTATGAGGGCCCTTGAGTAAGAAGGGTGTCTGCCTTGTTTTTTTAAAGTATCTCTAGGCGGACAGTCATACACTTGCAGACACCCATAACTTAAGTGATAGCATTCTTCCTGTTCTTGGAAATGTAAGTTAGTAATAATTCATGTTTTCCATTATAAATGAGAGAAAAGAACAACAATATGAATATACCAGAATATATCATTCTCTAGGAAGACATTATTACGACAATGATAATGAATCTTTATCTCCTAGGCATGAGTCTAGGTTGGAGATAAGAACCTACACTTGTCTCTGTGCTCTAGTTTATAATTCCTTCCATATTTTCCTTTCTGACGGCAGACATTTTTATAATGCTCTGAAACGTGAAATGGCATAAAACAAGGTATGCAGAAACCTTTTAGAAAAACTAAATGCCCCTAAAATTTCTAGGGGCTTTAGTTGATATGCATATAGTGACTGAGATTCCTACCCATCATGTTGTTGATATCAGGATCCAGCAAAATAAAAAAGGAAGATATAACATTTCTTAATATCTCAAACCCAATTCACAGTCATATTGATTTAAGAGTGATGTTATGTTACTTTAATACCGTAAAACAGATCTTGCTACTGAGTCCTCTGTACTCATTTAGACCATTCCTCACACTGTAGCCAGAATGCTCTTTTTAAAATACATCACATCTATGCATAGAATCTGTCAGTTTCTTCCTGTTACATGTAGAAAAATATCCAGACTCATTCCAATGAGCCTAGCAGCCTTGCATTGTCTGATCCCTTCCTGTTCCTTAAAACTCATTTCTTGCTTACCCCATTTGCATTCTAGCCACAGTGATTTTGTGCCAATTCCATGACTATTTTAAAATACTTTTGACTAAAGACTACACATCTTCTAGCTCTAATATTCTTCCAACTCATCTATACATCTTCCATATCATCTGCATGAGGCTTTCTCAGAATGTTTCTGTTTGGACCCCCTGGAGTTTTCTCCTGCCCTTGGACCAGAATTTATACCATCAGTAATCCTGGTATCTCTGGCCTTCGACCCAGACTGGAACTTACACACCAGCTTTCCTAGGACTCCACCTTTCCGACTGCAGATCTTGGGGTTTTTCAGCCTTTCAGCCTCCGTAATTGTGTTATCCAATTATATATATATATATATATATATATATATATATATATATTGACTGATATAAATGCACAGCCTAAAAAGAAAGATTGGTCCCCATGATACTTTTTATTTCAGGTCTTTTCCTTTTGATTTTCATAACTGCAATTATTATAAATTGAGTTTTATTATTTTGTCGATGTGCATGTATTTATGTTTACCTAGCCATTCAGCTAAATGTAAATAAAAACAAAGCAGAAATAATGTCTCTCAGACTCATGCTGTAAACCCAAGATCTAGCAAAGTATGTGACACACATAGTGATTACTACAGAAAAGTATTTAATAAATGAATGACTGTATTTTGAAATTCAAAAGGAGCTTTTACAAAAACGTGAATTTCTTTCTATGGAGAGAATGTCACAGAGAATCCTTTTCCATCTTCTAAGCAAATTTTCCTGATATCAAATTTAAAGAGCTGTTTTTGATTTCTTAAAACTAAGCCTTTCAAACATGGTAAGAATGTTATTTAATTTGTTATTTATGCAATGAATTATTTTTCAAATATGTATCTTAAGCACAGTCTGTTACAGAAAAGACTCTGGTATTTCACAATGAAGTACATGGTGCAATGCCTGGCACCTAGTAGACCTTCAGTTAATATTTGTTCAATGAATGATATGAAACTGAGGTTTGAAGGACTATGATAGTTGTAAAAGACTGTTGATACAATTTTAAGAAAAGGCTGTAATAGTGAGAGGATAATAAGTACTGTATGTAGTGTGATCTGTATTGAAAAACAGAAAGAAGCCTGAGGGAAGATGCTCATCTGTCATCCACGACCAACTTGGTTTATGCAGAGTCTCATTGACGAGTAAGAGGATTGTGTGGATCTCCTGATAAGCTTTTAAAGACACACTTACTTTGTGTTTAGTAAAATTCATCTAAATTAAAGTCTAGACACCATATATATGGATACTTCCTTTTATCCCTTCTGTGTAATGCTTCTATCCCATGAAATTGGCAAGACCTAGTAAAAGCTTTTGTGTAACCTCCAGTTTCCCTTCCTCTTCCTCTTCTTCCAAACTGCCTGTCCATGCTAAATTTATGGCCGGTTATTCTCAGCCTATGAGAAGCAGATCCTCAGAGATTGTCAAAAGTAATGAATGGGAGTTTTAGTTACAAATCAAACATAGTTTGAAGACTGAAAGACTGAATACAATATGTTTTATATATGTAAGTTATTATTTTTTCAAACTTTTCAAATGGTGGTGTAATTATTAAAATGTAATTAAAACTATCACATGATTTAAAATAATGTTTGGTTATTGTATATTTTCAGTCAACAAATTTTAAAAGTTTAATTACTGTATCTTTTGGAGATGTAGCTTTTGACATTAAATACTGAAATCATTATACCAAAAAGTTAAGATATAGACCATCTCCACTCCTAAGACTCTCTACTTATTAGACTTAATCAGATGTTTTTAACCATGTTTCTTTATCGTTCCCAGTGGAAGAAAGAGTGCAAATATAAAAGACCAGCAAATGTTTGCTGATGACGTTTTCAAGTTAGCATCATTCGTTGTCCTATACATGTACATTTGTTTTTTAATTGCTTTCTCTAGGGCCACCTTCAGCTCCCAGAAATGTGGCTTTTAACATCAATGAAACAGCCCTTATTTTGGAATGGAGCCCACCAAGTGACACAGGAGGGAGAAAAGATCTCACATACAGTGTAATCTGTAAGAAATGTGGCTTAGACACCAGCCAGTGTGAGGACTGTGGTGGAGGACTCCGCTTCATCCCAAGACATACTGGCCTGATCAACAATTCCGTGGTGGTACTTGACTTTGTGTCTCACGTGAATTACACTTTTGAAATAGAAGCCATGAATGGAGTCTCTGAGTTGAGCTTTTCTCCCAAGTCATTCACAGCTATTACAGTGACCACAGATCAAGACGGTAAGTTCCATTGCTGTTCTCTCGAAACAGACCTATCATTCCTTTTTATTCCTTAATGTCCCTGGTGGACCTATATTCACTGAGGTGCAGTTGTATACTCTATACATTATAGGGGTGGTTGTCTCTATACATTTTCTGGTGGTTGTCCTTATTGTTTCCCAAGGTGCAGAAAGGTATTTTTGATATTACCTCTTAGTAGTATGGTAGTATGGTTAATTGGATATAATGCTTCTCTCTAGTATCTATGCATTTTTGTTTATGAGCAAGTCCATTGAATTACCAGTGAACATCAAACATAAATAAAATGTTGCTAAATGGATTGAAATTCAGTTGCCCTACATATGTAGCCATCTCTTTTGCATGTCAAATAAGAAGATGGTAGGAATTTATGTTGATTTTAATTCCTGTTTATATTATAAGAACAGTATAGCTAATATGCCTGACCATGATCCACTCTGAAAAGAAAGAGCAAAAAATATTTAGAAATGAGTCTAAGTGCTGTTGTTTAGGTGAAGTTTTTTGTAAAAAGTAGTTAAACTGTCTGTTTTAAAAATCCAATGGCTTTCAGCTGAAGATTTCCTTTCCTTTATTACACTATAGGACTTTTCTGCAGTGTAGTTAGGCATGGATATCCTATGATTTTTATAAGTATATAGTCTCTTTAATTCCCCCATAACAATTTATCACAGAGCATGATATAGGAAAAGCTTCAGAGATTTTAAAAACTCCCTTTGAGAAGCGTTCATAAATTAGGTGGATACACAAGTGATTGTGTTATAGCAGAAAGTATTGTTGTATATGAACACATATAGATGAGACAAATTTATGCAGATAAAACTACTCTTATACATGGTGTTTGTTTTCTAGGTCTACTATAACAAATGCCATAGACTAGGTACCTTAAACAACAGAAAATTTTTTAACCATTCTAGAGGCTAGAGGTCCAAGACTAAGGTACCTGCAGAGTTGATTTTATTCTAAAGCCTCTCTCCTTGGCTTGCAGATAGCCATTTTCTCCCTGTGTCTTCCCATGTTCTTTCCTTTGTACGTGTCTGTGTCGTAATCTCTTCTCATAAGGACACCATCAATATTGAATTAAAGCACACTCATATGACTTCACTTTACCTTAATTCCCTCTTTAAAGGCCCTAACATCCAAATACAGTCACAATTCTAAGCTACTGAGGTGGGACTTCAATATATGAATTTTAGGGACTGCAAGTCAGTCCATTCCAGATGCATAAAGGCAGCATCTGGTGATGTTTAAAATGAAAATATATCAAAAATGTTGGAATACTACTCAGCAACGAAAAAGAACAAACTGTGGGCAGATACAACTTGGATGAACTTTAAGGGCACTATGCTGAGTGAAAAACCCAATCTCAAAAGGATTCACTTATGTAACATTCTTGAAATAGCATAATTTTAAAGATGGAGAACAGATTCTTGGTGGCCAAGGGTTAGGGATTAGGGGGGGAGATATGTCTCTGTGAAAGTGTAGCAGGATAGAACCTCGTAGTGGTAATATATTTAAATATCTTGATTGTGATGGTAGTTACATGAAGTTAGATATGTGATAAATTGCATTGAGCTGCACACACACACACACACACATACACACACACACACACATACATACATATAGGAGCCCTGTGGATTTTACCAATGTCCATTTCCTGGTTTTGATATTGTACTATAGTTATGCAAGTAATTAACATTGGGGGAGGCTAGGTAACGGATGTATGGGACCTTGCTATACTTTTTTTCTAATTTCTATGAATCTATAATTATTGCAAAATAAAAAGTTTAAAAACATTGCTAAACCTGTAAAACACAGGAAGAAAACTTTAATATTCTACTAAAAGCATATTTGTAATAATGGATATGACCATTTTATTCAAATATTGTATATAATTTCACTTTGCTGATAATCTTCAGAAATACAGCTAATAAATAAAGCAAAGACAAAGAGTACTGTACAATCACCATTTTTATATTTACTATGTAGTATTTCCCTTCATTTAGCAAATTGCTTCACATCATAGAATCTGCTTTATAGTTGTTCAAAATGGAATTTCTGTTTTCTGTTTCCTTAGTTCTTTCCCATAGTCTAAACAAAATCTTGTCAAATATGTCTTCAGAATGAGACAAATTAGGATCTTCTGTTCCTCTCTGCATTAGCAAATTATTTCTAAGGCTTTTTTTCTGCCACTTGATCAAAAAAATACAATCCAGTACAACCATTTTAACTATAGGATATAAATAATTAAGTTTGGGAATAAAACTAATATATCACTTTAAATAAAATATATATATATATATATGTTTACATAATTTCATACGTGAAATGTACATTCTATGCCTTTCATTCTAGGATTAGAAGAGAGTTCATTTAGGCCATTTTTCTACCTAGCAGAAGGGCAGAATGTGAATTATTTCCCACTTTGAAAATGAGAGAATTTATTCAAAATGTATTGCTGTAAGGACAGAAAGTATATTAAGCATGAAATAAGATACAGTATCCATAGATTGAGACTATACAAAATGATATGAGCTATTCATAAGCTTTTGATTTATTCAACATATATATGGTGGTGAGCAAGCCCTTATGAACTTTACATTCTGGTGGGGAGGCAGATAACAAACAAATAATTTGACAAAGACATAAGTAGTATTGTGATAAGTCCCACCAAGGAAAATCCAGGGTGCTCTGAGAGCATGTATTCTTCAGGTCTGAAGGATAAGGGCTGGTCTTCTTGAGGAAGCAGTATTTAAACTAAGTTCAGTTCCGAAGATGAGTAGAATGTGGGTAGGTCAAATGAGGCCAGGAGAAGGGAATGAATGCAGAATAGAAGGAACCAAGCAAAGATTGAGCAACTGAGGGATTAGGTGCTAATGACTAACATACTAAGAGCATCTAAGAAGTTGGTATATTGCAGAGGCACAACAGGATTTGGGGAAGGAACTGAAGATTTAACTTTAAATTTGGAGAAATGAGTTGCAAAACAGACAACACAAGTTAGAGAAACAACCATTTAGCAGAAGATGCTGATATATTATCAGGGCTATAGACAGGAGAAAAGAAAATCAGCAGAATAATAATATTACACATGTGGTGACATTTGAATACTAAGTAAAGTAGTAGAGACTGAGAAATATAGATAGTTGCACTAATTATGTTTTTATTACTCTATGTATGCACAGTGTGGAGCTTGAGGATAAAGGGAAAGTTTGCATTAAATTCGCTTTTCTTTCATGAAGTTAATTATTTGTATATGTCTTTTCTCATACTTAAGAAGTATTAAGGAAACAACATTAAACAACCTTGACTTAATTGTTTGCTATCTGTTTACAATTAAATAAATGTAAAAAAAAAATCTTTTCCAAATCACTTAGAACCATTTACCTATAGTTAGGAGAAACATTCCTTGATTATCCTGATTCTAGTTGGATAAATAAGATTATAGATTTAGAACTATGACTCTTATAATTAGAAATCTTTGCAATAAACCTTAATTAACTGACTTCTACAATCCCTAAGAGCTATATTTGCAACCTTCTATTTTCATAGTTTATTTAAATGGTCTTTAAAGGTGGTTCATTTAGAGGGGAAAACAAGAGAGCAACACCTAGGAAGCATTTGATTTTAATCTTCAGTGCATGTTAGAAAAAAATAAGATATGTAGTTTAGTAGAAGGAATTATTCAGGTCGTAGACAGTATAGGAAAATGTTAATCATGGATAGTCAGCCTGAAACAAATTGTGTTTGTAGGTATCCTGACATGTGCAAAAGCCTTTAGGGACTATGTTCAAAGTGAAAGACATGCTAAATTACAAACTAATTCTGCTGGTATTTCCTAAAGGGTCTTTAAAGCAATTATTGTCAGAAGCAGTTTGTCCAATTCTTTTGCTTCTTAAAATATATATTCAGCAGTCCTATCCCTGCCATTGCGTGGGTATTCTGTATAGGTTTTGCCTTAGGATTACATTTTGCAGGCTAATATATGCAGATTTCATATATTTGCTCAGGCAACAATAATTAATTGAACTGATATTGAAAATAGATTTAAATAAACAAAAGTCTCCATATATGTATAAACTTGAAATATCTATTTGATTTACAGTTCACTGCATTCTGAAAATACAATCTGTTTCAAATATGGACCTTTTGCATGTTGCTAGAGTAGGTAATTAGGGACATTGTAAAGATTCATTCATCTTTATGTCTGTATTTTAATTGTTTTTGGTCTGGATATCCCTCATAATCCTCAGTGTGTTTTCAAAATTCTTGACAGTGAATACTCTTTTTTCCTAAGTCTATTCAAAATAAAAGAAATTGGTGTAAAAAATCTTAAATGCTTACTAAAAATACACTGAATATAAGCCAGTGACATGATAAGTTAGAAAAGGAAAAAGCAGTAACCATAATTTAAGCTGAGTGATACTATACTATTTGTATTTTTTATATTTCTTAGACATAAGAAAATTACATATTCAAAAGCTACACTTTATATTGAAGGATAAAATTCCTATCTCCTAGGAAGAGTGTTTTTCTTCCAAAAAGTGCACTGAATATTTTATGTAAAGGAGATAATTTAAATGTCAGTCTAGTTAATCATAACTAAATAACTTTATATTCTAGCCCAAAATTAAATTATAATAGAGTCTAGATGATTGTAAACTTTGTTTTTACTCCTAGGAAACATCAAATTACTTCCAAGTCTAGTGTCTTTTTGTGGCATGCATCTTTTGAATAAATGAATGATGTAGAAAAGGCTTTTAGACCCTAGCAGTGAGTTTACTGAAGTTGGTCAGTGGCTCAGCTCGCAGTCAGCAAGTATAGAAATCGAACTGCTCCCAGCCACTTACACACAATAGCACACACGTGTCTGTCGCACTGGATCATAATCATATTTTGATAGTTTGCTTTTCTGACCAATATGTAAGCTTCTTGAAAACAACAATGATGTGTTATTTGAGCATATCCTCAACCTATTTTGT